GTAGGTTTGGGTACTGAAGATGAGTTGGGAAAAGATGATTACATGGTCCAAGAGATTGAGGGCGAGGTAGATGATGTCCATAATGAAGAAGTCCCGCTCCACAAGCAAGAATTCTCTTCTTGTACACATGCACCAGTCCACTCTTACGTGGTTTCAGATTTGGATTTCTTTGATCCATTCCTTGGTAATGATATTTCTTTGTGTGTGGATAATGATCACAACTGCTTGGAGGATATTAATAAGAAGAGTGACGAAACGAATTGGGATGCATTCATGGGGAGTGATACAGAGTCTGGAGGAGAGGTTGTGAATGTTCATGATATTTGTGGAGAAGAAAAAGACTTTTCTATGGTGCACTTCGATCACGGTGTTGCTCCTAATCTTTGCTTTGAGACATCTTTTGAGTTTACGGTGATACCTAGAGTAATCAAAGTTCTCACTCATGTTCCCTATCCACCTGAAGAGGATGAGAGTTTCATACTTCACTTCTATGCTGATGAGGGTTATGAAGACCATGTGCTACCTACGTTTACTAGAGAATTTAAAGGCCTGCGCCACTTAATGGCATTTGTTGAAAGGAAGCTGGAAACGTTGATTGTTAGTGCACCACTACAGTCTTTGCAATTTGAGAGCTTATGAGGTATCGTCGGGCACACGACGTTAAAAACAGCGCTTCTCGGGAGGCAACCCGAGCTTATTTCTGCTTTTGATTTTGCTTTTGATTTGTTTGTTGTTTGGTTGTTTTGCTTTGTGTTTTTGTTGCAGCTGGGTCTTGTTGTATGGATGATGTGCCGAGGATTACATTGACTCAGTTTAGTTCTGCATCGACCAACGCCTTAGGGAAGTTTCTTTGACGCTTTTACTCGCTTGTTGAAATATTGACTTGAGTTAAGTTGAGCATGCGTGACCCTATCCTCTTTACCCCCTTGTGCATAGTGCATTTTTGGTCATCGAGGACGACGCCAAAGTTTAAGTGTGGGGGAGTGAATTGGGCATTCGGGCAGTAGTTGTTACATGTGATTTTTAGAGTTAGCATGCGCAGGTGTTAGTTGTATATTCATAGGAAATTCATGTCAAAATTTTTGAAAATTTTTCTTTAAACTGTGTCTTTGTGAACTAGCTAGCGTTTGACAATGCTTTTAGAATGTCCTTGAAGTGTTTAGGCTTAAATTGCTTGCATGATAACTTGGTTTTTGAAAGGATGAAGGCATTAGTCACTCATTGAATGAATGAACAATTTTCCCATTTGACCTGAATAAGTTCCTTTAGGAGAAGACACTTTGAGCCTGACCGTTCTTTGTTACCCAATTAATTGAGCTCCATAGCCAAATGGCCTGTTTCCTTACCCGTGAATATTTCTGGCTTAGTCTTGATGTTTAGGGAATTAAGGGATTAATTTGCTAAGTTTAGGGGATTTTGTGTAGGAGCCATTTTTGGCACTGTTCCTATGCCCCAAATAGGGTAAGAGCAGTCACTTTTAGGAATTTGATATTTTCGAGGATTGCATTGTAGGCATGGATTCACTTTGAATAATTGAACTTTAATTGTTAATTTTCCTTGGTGAGGCCGAGATTAGAATGGGGTAATGTCTGGTGAGAATCCGAAAGGTGAAAAATTAATATAGCTAGACCTCTTGCCTTGCGAAAAAGAGAATAGGAGCCCCGGTCAAAAAGCGTAAGATGAGACTTGGGTATCTTTCGAAAGAAATGGCATTCTCGTGCCAACAAGACAAGGAAAACTAAACATAATTAATGAACTTGGAGGCTATTATAAAAAATTTAGCTTTAATCCTCCGCGTACTTCAAGTATACGTCAAAGCAAAAATGTGCCGAGACGGTTTAGCTTAGTTGTACACCATGTCTACTCTTTGCATAGGTTTAAAGGATTGTTCCTAAATTGTGGCCTACTAAGTTCCTTGATCCTAAGAATAGCCTGAAGTTCCTGAATACATTGATTCTTTGTTAGAATATTCCAATCTCTCAAAACAAAGGGACTATTATTGTTACCATTCACCCTTCACCACCATTTTCACAAGTCTTTCTGATCAGTAGCTAGTTTATTTGTGTGTGCTGTCACTACTTTGAGGATGTTGTGAATAATTTTGTCAAATATTTTAGCTAGAGTACAAAGATGTAGTTTAGGGAAGAATTTTCTTGGTTTAGTCTGCCTATTCTTTGAATATCCCTTTAACTACGTGTGCATGCTAATTGTTTTGATTCCGTGTGGTGATTATTGTAAGTCCCGATGTTCGATTTGCTTGAGGACAAGCAAAGGCTTAAGTGTGGGGGAATCTGATAAGTCCGTATTTAGACACGCATTTGATGCGTGTTGAGATCGGCTTTTGATGGTTTTCCCAGCTTTAAGGTGTTACAAGTCTCAATTTTAGCTCAAGTTATGTTTACCGGGCGTTGGTTCGAGTTTTGTGTTGTTTGTAGTCAAAATCAGGGAATTTGAGCCCGGTACCGGCACTTGAGGAACAATCGGGATGATTTGAGAAGCATTTGAGAATTATTTGATAGCTTTGGAGGTCACCGGAAGATTCACGATGAAGATTTGAAGGAAAAAGAGGTCTAGGATTGGCTACAGAGTCAAAAGAAGATGAATGAAGCTTGAAAACGACGATCAGGATGACCTTCTGTCAATCGTTCAAGCATATCTCTTTGTAGAAACATCCAATGTACACGATTCAAGTTCCATATGAAAGCTAACTTCAAGGGATACAAATGACATGAAGACACCTTTGCAAGAATCTGAGAGAAAGAAGGTGAAAACAGACGATGACGTCAGATGATCTCTGCTGGAATTTCAGAATGATACCTTCCACCGTTTTGATCATATCTCTTGATTGGATGATTCAAATCACATTCGGCAAATTGGGGTGGATATATGACTTTATTATCTACAACTTTGATGAAGGAAGTTTTGTCCAATTAGGATGTTTTACGCACGCCGTGCGTAGGGGAACGCACGACTGTGCGTCTGAGGCGAGAAAGCAAGGAAGATACTGCCAGCAACGCACGGCCGTGCGTGGGGGGACGCACGCCGTGCGTTCCATATTTTTACGCGGTTTTGCTCCGGACGCACTGGGTGACTCACACCGTGCGTTGGCCCCGTGCGTTGGCCCTGGAATCCTAATTTCGCCCGAATTGCTCCGTTTTTCCTATTTAAACAGCCTGTAAACCCCCGTTTTGAAGGGGGGAGCTTAGAGAGAGTGCCTAGCACGAAATTTAGAGGGTTTTTCAGCCTTGTTCATCAATCTTTTGGTATTCTTTGTAAGTTCCATCTTTTTAATTAATGACAATTACTTCTATTCTTCCCAATTCTATTGATTCTTCAATTATGAATTGTGAGTAGTTTAATTAGGGATTGTGATTGATGAAGGGGTTGATCATGATGTATGGCTAGTTTCTTGATGGATTAATTGCATGAATGCCATTTAATTTGTGTTTGAAAAATTTAACTGATATCTTTTGTAACATAGAACGCGCGCTAGAATTACAATTGCTTGTAGAATAAATTAAGAGAGATCTAGTTTATTCTAGGACACCTTCACACACACTTAATCGTTCGCTAAGAGATTAGTAGCGATTAAGGGGCCGCAAGCTCGCTCGTCTTGGCAATAATTTAGGATCATGTCGCATGAGAGATCAGCCTGGTCCCCTAAATTATTGTACTCTACGCCGCGAGAGCGGTAAGAACTTAGTAATGATTAGCTAGGCTCAATTGAATTAATTTCATGTAATTAGGCCTGATCTGCAAGAAATCTGGTTACCCCGGAATCAATCCCTGTTCCCTTCGTCATTAATTAGAGAGAACCCATTTATTTTAATCGTTTAGTTGCATTTTAATTTTTCAGCAACCAATCTCGCACGACGCATTTTTATTTATTTCTTTTAATCGCTGAATTTAATTAATTCTTGATTCCCTTTTGTCCGTCCCTGTGGAGACGATACTCGTACTTACACCACTATATTACGATCTATTTTAAGTGCGAGAAAACACACATTAACCGGCAATCATTAACCGGCAATCAGAATTATGACCAAATCATTTGTTGATATTGATGGGGGATGCAATGGAAACGTGAAAGAGATATTTCAAGGTCCGTTCTTACTTCTTAATACGAAGAAGAGTTTGCATAATTGTTAATTAAATTTCATAATTCACAAGGTCTACATACATATGGAGTTTGCTTGGGGTACACAAAATGTGTACACAAAATATGTATACATGTCTGTCCTTCAAATAAAATTTTTCTGGCACAGACAACTCAAAATAAGTTGTTTGTGACAAACAAATTTTCTCTGAAGGAGAGACATGTGTACACATTTTGTGTACCAAAAGTATTTTCCGTCTACATATTGCTACATGCATACTGCCTACATGAGCTCCTTAGGAATGGTAGCTTGTATAATACTCCATCTGTCCCTTAAAATTTTGTCAACTTTCCCTTTTTGGATGTATCAGTCACTTTGACACTTTCACTTTTTAGTAAAGAATTAGTGGTTCCAGTTAATTCTCTCTCCTCTGTACAAATCTCAATCTCACAATTTTTACTTTATTAATTCCCGTGCCAGTCAAACTTGACAGACTTTTAAGGGACGGAGGTAGTACCAGATAAGCTAATCTAATATACTCTCAGTTGTACCGCAATTGTTGAAATCATACATTTTGTTAATGTAACTCTAATAAAAATGGGTCGTTCTTTATGTAAACATGGGTTTGCATCTTCTGTTTAAAACTGTGGGATTTTTTGACGAATTATTTGTGTATTCAAACAACTAGGGCGACGTCTATAAAAATAGCCCTAGTTACGTTCTTTTAGACGTCCCAATTGGCGGTACTATTTGGAACTGCGGTCTAGATCATACGACCAATCATCTTGGGTTACAATCTCTAAAAAAGTATGAGTAGTTATTTAATTCACATAATTAATGTCATCAAACTCAGACAGAACTTGATTAGTTGGACTGAATCACGAAGTCAAACATGTTAAACTATTATGCCCTCGCAAAAAAAAATGTTAAACTATTATGCTAAAGTTCAAATAGTACCATAGTGAAACGATTACATATGCGTAGCAAACTGACCAATACTTGAAATACCAAACTAAATCAATACTGGTAAATATGATAGAATTTATACAATTACCCCAGTTAAGTCCTTGAAACAGGGGTGGGTGGGTAGGTGGATTAGTTAACAATTAACAGTGTGAAAGCCACAAAACTCTACTTTAAGTACAGAATTGCAACTTGTTATAAATGTAAAGGGACCAAAGACATGACAAGAGAGTAAACTTGTTATCACCAAGAATATCCCAGCTGCTCTGTAAGTATGTATCTCAAACATTGCAATTCCATTTGTATGGCCTATTTACAGATTATGAATATGAACTGGTAGCACACAAATTGCAGCACAGTGGAAATATGATAATGATTATTATTGATAATTCCGCAGATATATGTAATAAAACTTAAGAAAATTGGCCAAATGCAGCATGATGAAGTCTCTGGAAATGCTTACTGCTGTTATACATGGATTGGTTGTGAAGCCAAGCCGCAGTTGTAGCTGCACTAGCAGTAGTACTCAAAGGAGGAGACCCTTGATCTGCTGCTGCTGTGAATTGTGCTTCGGGTTTTACTTCATTATACAATTCTTGATGATGATTGGGGAGGGCGTGGTTCGGAACGACAGTCCCACCAAGCAAGACGGGTGAGGGGAGATATTCAGACCATCTGATTTCATCAAGATCGCCGTCCCTCTCCTGTTTCCCATTCGAACCGCCACTAACCCCCCAAGAAAACGCATTGGGTTCGAAAAAAGAGGAGTTGCTGCTTAGTTCCATGGGGTGAACACCATTTGGGATGTTGGAACTTTGCTTCGAAACCATCTGGTCAGATGAGGGTTTGAAGAAGAGGGCGCTGCTTCTGTCATCGTCTCCGTTATGATGGTGGTGATGATGATGATGGTGCGGTGGCAGAGGAAAGGGGGGAGACGATCCCAGGTTGTTGCTGCTGGCACCACTGTAGTTCAATAAAGAGAGGTAACCGGACAAATCAGATGATGTCTTGTTGTTGAGGAAGAACTCATGGTGTGTTGCGGCCGAGCTCATTCGATTACTGTCCATCATCCGATGGTAGCGGCTGTCCAGCGGCAGCTGCTGCTGATGAGGCCTCTCTGCTGCACCCATTCCTGTGCCTGAAAACACATGAAGAGTACTACTCTTACTGCTGTTCTCATCAGCTTCTGCTCCATAGTTTAGCTCGCTGGAGCCTTCGGATAAAGCTGCCAATATGTCGTTGTTGGCCGCGGCGTTGAGAGATTCTTTTTCTTCGCTCTCGGCCTCAGACAACGGTTTGTGTGTGTTCGGGTCGATCCCCTTCTGCCTCAGCTTCTTCTTGATCGATGAATTCCACAGATTCTTGATTTCGTTATCCGTCCTCCCGGGCAATCTCGCTGCAATTTGAGACCACCTGATACATTTTCATATGCTTAGTTCTTATAGGACTTGGAGATTGGAGTAATTTTCTGATAGACACAATTCAAAAATCAAAACATTGCTTTATATTACTCTTTATTTTAATGTATGTGGACTTCATTAATTTAAAAAGCATATCCACATCATAATACACAGTATATAGTTGACATTATATGCTTACTTGTTGCCTAGAACTGCATGGAGTTCAATGATCAGATTCTCCTCCTCCTGGGAAAATGTGCCTCTTTTCAAATCAGGCCTCAGGTAGTTAATCCACCTCAACCTGCAGCTCTTCCCACACCTCTGCAGTCCTGTGAACACCAGGCCAATACAAAACTTGTCAATTGCAATTCAATTCAATTTCCCATTTTCTCCATTACATCTGTATTGATTACTTACTTTCTGGAAACAAATTAAGAAAGAATCTGTCTCTGGGCAATAAAGTTCTTACATTTCTTTATTGTGTATATTCATTTCGAAGTGAAAACATATTTTTATTATTAAATGAAAGCAGTAGTTATAAATTGGTGTATTTCCGGCCGTAAAGGTGAGATCTTTAATGAGTTGGTACCACAGCAGTGAGCAATAGGTACAATAATAAATGCCATTATTGTTCACAGGAAAGGAAAATACCAGCTAGCTTTGGAACAGAGCTCCAGCAGCCATGGCCATAAGTAGTAATATGCTTGATGAGCTTCTCATCTTCTTCTGGAGACCAAAGACCTTTCCTCAGCTTCTGCTTGTAACAGCAGGAATGCCTACCCATGTGGGAAAAATGTTCTCTTTTCTATTTTTAACGTTGTATGAGTTGTGTTCTTGCCCAAGGGAGAAGGGGTGTAGGTGGAAAATGAAAGGCTAAAGTGGAAGGAACCGAACTGATTTCAGTGCTTGGGATTGGAGCCCTATAAAACACTGGAGGTCTTATTCAGCGGATAATTCTACTTTTTATTTTTTCTATAAAAAAGGACACAAATTATTGTATTTTTTTAAGAGGTTCGGGCTCTTGGTTTAATTTTTTAAGGAAATGCGAAGATGGATGTCTCTATTATATAAAATCTGATTTGCTGGGTCTTATCAAGGCTCTTGAGAAATAATTAATGAACTCGACAGCACTTGTGGGGCATCAGGACAGATATTTATTTGGTGGAAATAAAGATAAAGCAAAATCAAAATACAATTATTAATTGCACTTACCATCAAATAAATAATTATTAATTGCACTTAACATTTTCAGTAAATAACGAATAACTATTTCTGTGACTAAAACCTTGTATATTACTATTCATCTCACCATCGTTCTCCAATTTTGTTTCTTAATTTGCATAACATACTTTTTAGGATTTTTTTATAAATTAATTTTTATTATTATAAATTAAAACATGATTATCTTATTAAGTTATTGTAAGAGTAGAATACGAATATAGAGTATACTTTAGTCTTCTTTGGGAAGATAAATGACATAATCATATTTGTGCATTTCGGGATTAGTTTAGTCCTATTTTTCTATTTATTCATTAATTTCTCACTTACTCTATTCATGAATATCTCTTCATATGAAGATTTCATCATTCTTAAAATTCTTTCAAGATTGCATCCTTGTTCGAATTAGCGGTAGTCTTGAGCATGTTATACTTGTTTTGATGCTATGATCATCTAATTTGTTACCGGTGGGCGTAGCTCAACTGGTAGCAAGGGAGTGCCACAAGGGTTAGGTCTCGGGTTCGAATCCCGGCAACTGCGATGAGGGGTTACTATGCTGAAAAATGCATAGGGTCTCTGCAAGTACCGGGGACAGAGCCCCACTCTTTATCTGTCAGATTGTGATTATAGTCCAATTTACATCCTCCCATCGTGCCGTCCGGTCGGTGGTGGGGGGCCCTCAGGAATGGGGTGTCATCCTTTTTTTTTTTTTTTTTTTTATTATCTAATTTGTTGTATCATGTATGAGAGATGTTCACTATATCACAAGATTAAAAATTAAGAAATTATTTAATCTTGGCTGAAAAGTAGTACCTTACAAAAGATATAAATGGGTATTAAATTAAATAAACCCAATGATAAACCTGCAGGACGCAACAAAATTTGGCGTCTATATAAGTCTCTTGTAGGTAAGCATTCTCAAGAGGAGCATACTGAATCATGATCACGGATCAGACTTTGTACTTAATAATCGTTAATAATATTTTTTCCAAGTTTTTTTTACCAATCTCGATGTAACTCTAACTATTTTTGTGCTTACCTTCTAACTATTTTTGTGCTTACCTTTTTTATATGCGGTGATATTCATAAGTATAATCCTTACTTTTTTTAGGGATTCTACAATAATAATTCCTACTCACACTGTACAAATAATCTGAACTAGCAAAGGTGCTCATAAGAATAAAATGGAACACCGACATTTGTTGCTTCGTCTTCGCGAGGGGGTGGCTTAGGTGCCTCTTCATCTGGTGCTCATAAGCTGGATCGTGAAGGTCATGGAGCTCGCGTCTGGGGTCAAAGCGGTCGTGGTGGTTGAGGCCGCAGGCAGTACCGGCACTCCCAGCAACAACTCCACCTCCAGCAGTCCTTCGGCCAGCAGCCGGTCTTCGGCCAGCAGCCGGTCTTCGGCCAGCAGCCGGTCTTCGGCCAGCAGCCGGTCTTCGGCCGGGGGCAGCAACAACAACAACTGTATGCTACATACGGAAGGGGGCCTCATCAGCCAAATCCTATAGGTACACCGAATACACTCTTATGTAATTATGTTGAGTCATGGTCTTATACTCATGCCCCATCTACTTTTTGTACCAACTATGCTTCTGCAGGATTCTCATCTTTTGACAATAGTTTTGGTTCAGGTCATTCGCCTATTGTCTGTCAGATTTGTCAATCTCCAAGTCATTCTATTGTTGCGTGTCCCTCTCTGATAAGTCCGTATTTAGACACACATTTGATGCGTGTTGGGATAGGATTTTGATGGTGTTCCTAGCTTTAAGGTGTTACAAGTCTCAATTTTAGCTCAAGTTATGTTTACCGGGTGTTGGTTCGAGTTTTGTATTGTTGGAGTCAAAATCGGGAAATTTGAGCCCCGCACCAGTGCTTGAGAAGCAATCAGATGAGTTGAGAAGCATTCGAGATTGATTTGAGAGCTTTGGAGGTAACCAAGAGGTATATGATGAAGATTTGATGACAAAAGAGCTCTAGGATTGGCTATGAGATCAAAAGAAGATAAATAAAGCTGGAAAACGACGATCATGATGACCTTCTGTCAATCGTTCAAGCATATCTCTTTGTAGAAAAATCCAAAGGACAGGATTCAAGTTGAAAATGAAAGCCAACTTCAAGGGATACAAATCATATGAAGACAACATTTTTATAATATGAGAGGAGGAAGGTGAAAACAGGTGATGAAGTCAGATGATCGCTGTTGAGATTTCAGAATGCGACCTTCCACCATTTTATTCATATCTTTTGATTGGATGATTCAAATCCCGTTTTTCTAGTTGTGGTGGATAGAGGACTTCATTATCTACAGCTTTGATGAAGAAAGCATTTTCTAATTCGAAGAGGAAGAACGCGCGACGAGCGCCCGAAGAATGCATGGAAGCCCCGGTGAAGAAACGAGCCAGGCACGGTCGTGCCTGGCTGTGAGGCACGCCGTGCGTGTAGAAGAAACGGGTACCCAGCCTCTGGAGGCCAGGCACAGTCATGCCTAGCCCTAAGCACGATCGTGCCTTCCTCCGGAAAATCCTATTTTCGCCGGATTACCCCGTTTTTGTCCAAGTTCAACCTAAACTCATTTGTTTTCTATAAATAAGGCCTCTATTCTCCTGTTTAAGGGTTACGAACATTACGGAGAGGCCTATGGACGAATTTAATTGCGTTTTTACGTTGTTTTCTTCAAGAACCTTTGAATTATTTGTATGTTCATCTTTTTAATTAATGACAATTAATTCTATTCTTCCCAATTATGTTGATTCTTCAATTATGAATTGTGAGTAGTTTAATTAGGGATTTGGGATTGATGAAGGGGTTAATCATGATGTATGGCTAGATTCTTGATGGATTAATTGCATGAATGTCGTTTAGTTTGTGTTTGAACAATTTAACTGATATCTCTTGTAACCTAGAACGCGCGCTAGAATTACAATTGCTTGTAGAATAAATTAAGAGAGATCTAGTTTATTCTAGAACACATTTGCACACACTTAATCGTTCACTAAGAGATTTGTAGCGATTAAGGGGCCGTAAGCTCGCTCGTTTTGGCAATAATTTAGGATCATGTCGCATGAGAGATCAGCCTCGTCCCCTAAATTATTGTACTCTACGCTGCGAGAGTGGTAAGAACTTAGTAATGATTGGCCAAGCTCAATTAAATTAATTTCATGTAAATATGTCTGATCTGCCAGAAATCTGGTTACCCCGGAATCAATTCTTATTCCCTTCGTCATTAATTAGAGAGATCCCATTTATTTAATTGTTCATTCGCATTAGTTTAATTTTCATACCAAGCATATCTCGCACGACACATTTATTTTTATTTATTTTTAAATCAATGAATTTAATAAAATCTTGATTCCCTTTTGTTCGTCCTTGTGGAGACGATACTCGTACTTACACCACTATAATACGGTCTATTTTAAGTGCGAGAAAACTCACATTAGTTTTTGGCGTTGTTGTCGGGGACGGTGTCGATTTTAGGGTTAATTAATTTCAGCGAGATTTTTTTTAGTTAGTTTTCTTTTTGTTTTTCGTAGGATTTTTCTGTGCTAACCTTTCAGGCATTTTTCTAAGAGGCATGAGATGAACCCATTTAGCCAAATCCCTGAAGAAATTCCTTACCCTCAAACCTCCATGGAATATTCACCATATACGACATACCCTCCTTACACTCCTCCTCCTCAATATTACACACCTCATCAAAATTACTCTCCTACACCACAAAATTATCAGTTCCCTTATTCATACCCTCCAACCACGCAACCTTGTTTGCCTAAGAATAATATTTGTTCCTTCTATGGAGGATGTCACCATATATCTTTTTGCCCCGTTAAACCTCCATATGACCATCCTTACTGGGCAACTGCATACCCCACTTCGTCCTCACCACAACTTACAAACACAAATGTTTCGGCCACTCCTACATACTTCCCGAGTAATGAGCCTCATAATCAACAAGAGGAGGCAGATGTAAAGAGGCTTTCTGACTTGGAGGAGACGCTCATACAGTTCATGCACATTACTTCAGCCAGAATGCAGACCACTTCAGCCAAAATGCAGAATTTAAGTAACCAAATGAGTCAGCTGGCAGAAGCCTTATCTAAGGAGTCCGAGAGATCCCATCCTAGCGACAATGAAACCAATCTGAGTGAATACGTCGAGGCCGTCACGCATACATATGAGAAACACCTTGAGGCAGCTGATCACAATAAAGAAGCATCTCTCCCCGTAAAAGAAGAACCGTCATGTATGTATTCAGATGTTCACTCGTGCATTGTCTCAGATTTGGATTTGTTTGATGCACCGCTGAAGGATGATGCTCCTTTAATCAACGACGACCACATCGTCCGAGAAGACATTGATAAGAACAGTGTTAACGGGGGTTGGGATGCTCACATGAGGAGTGATATAGAGTCCGGAGGAGAGGTTGTGAATGTTCATGATATTTGTGGAGAAGAAAAAAGATTTTTTCTATGGTGAAGTTCGATTACGGTGTTGCTCCTAATTCTTGCTTTGAAACATCTTTTGAGCTTCCGGTGATTCCTAGAGTAATCAACGTTTTGAGTCATGTTCTTTGTCCACCCGAAGAGGATGAGAGTTTCATCCTTCACTTCTGTGCTGATGAGGGTTATGAAGATCATGTGCTGTCTACGTATGCTCGAGAATTTAAAGGTCTGCGCCACTTATGGCATTTGTTGAGGGAAAGCTGGATACTTTGATGATTAGGGCCCCACTGCAGTCTTTGCTATTGGAGAGTCTTAACGAGGTAGTTGCGTCGGGCACACGACGTTAAAAATAGCGCTTCTTGGGAGGCAACCTAAGCTTATTTCTATGCTTTTGTT